CATTTTGTGGCCACGGACGCTATGCTGAATGCATGCTCTTTTGTGGGGGGCGTTCTTCCTTTATTCTGGCCTGCAATAGACATGCTATTTGTCAGGAATGTATGGTTGGCATGCTTAATGCCAGCCGTCGTAGCAGTTGTTGTTTTGAGAATGCTCAGTTAGGTCTTCCATGCGCTCATCCACCCCATCCTTACAATGTGTGTCCTTTCTGTCGTCAAGGACAGCCTCATTCTTGAGCTTTTCCCTGTGTTTAACACCTTCCCCTTCACTCTGCCTCTCTCACAGTGTGCAAGTGGGYTGTTATGGCATWYGGGRATGRGRSCAGCTCGCGCTCAACTTCATCAACGTGGCGAGCCTTGCACGTGAGAGGCACAGTGGAGGTGGAGTTCAAAGAAGAATGAGAAATTTAATGGTTTCAATTTGCCCTTGTTTTTTCTTTTTGTTTTTCTTTTTATTTTTATTTTTGCATGTTATCACTGTGCCCGTTTTTTGCTTTTATTCTTTGTTCCGCAAAGTGCGCTCTTTTAGTTTGTAGTGATGTGACAATATATATATATAGATTTTCGATTCCAATCCGGTTGGTTGGTTCGGCCGAGCATATSTCCAGAGTGCAGAATTGATTGCACAGGCTCTTTCTTCTTGTAATTAACTTCAGGTAACCTAACGGTCACCCACATACTTGCTCCATACTTGCTCCATTTCTGTCTGGGGACCTCAGAAGATAGGACTGGCTGCTACACTACGCAGGAAACACGAACAATGGTGAGCACATCTTCAAACAGAAGGTGAGAGAATACATCCCTCACTGTTCATTCATTACTGCAGCAGAGGTTTTTGGCCGCTTTCTGTGTGAAGATACATTTGTCAATTTTCTTGTTGCAGTAGGACTGTGGCAACGCCAGTACACCGGGGCCTGGAGGGGCGTCACTGCGCGCCAAGCATTTCCGAACCGCCAGAGGCAAACTATCTTTCTGTTTTGGGTGGCGCCAGGCATTTTTGGGTGGTCCGGTAGGCCGAGCCTCCAAAAATTTTGTAGGCAACGAGTTGCATTTTCAGCACGGCTGGGGCCATGTACTGGCGGTTCAAGCCATTCAGTTCATTCCTGATGAGCGTATAGGAGTGGTCAGCGTGTACACCTTTTCAGCGCAGGCATTCCAGACGGTTGCCTCCCCACCCCCCTGGCTCCCGGCTTCTACAGTGATCATGTCGCCCTGGCTCTTGCAGCTGTTTTTTTTTTCCTGTTTTGTTTTCTTTTTCATCTGAGGACCAGCTAGCACCAGTTGTTTCCCTTTTTTTCCTTTTATTTTTTTACTAGTTGCTGTCCTTTCGTCTGAGGACAGTGGGAAGAACTTTCTCTATTTTACAAGTTTCCATTTCGTTTGAGGACGGTGGTCAATACTGCTACTTCAAAAAATCACAGCAATGACTCAGAGGAGGAAATTTGATTGATTCTTCTAAGGGCCTGCCCACGCCGGTACCAAATGTCGCTACATCTAGAAGCTGAGTACTCACACAGGCCTGCAAACTGAGCAGATGCCTCAAATCAACACCACAAATATCAGCAGCCTGCCAGACTGTGGGTGAATGGATATCGTGGGCATGTTTTGAGGTGCCCGCAAATCCCGTTTTCACTTCTTGTGAATTCTTTCTAGAGTGAACAGTTGACGTCGAACTTGACGGAAACACCCCACCGATTTGTGCTGGAAGCTGTGTCATCGGCACCTACAGAAAAGAGAGCATTTCCGAGCACCGAGAGAGAGAGAGAGAGAGAGAGAGAGAGAGAGAGAGAGAGAGAGAGAGAGAGAGAGAACTAGAGCTGCCACATGGCAGCTCATTACAAATCGGTTGCCAAGTGGCAGCCCAACAGTAGAGAGAGAGAGAGAGAGAGAGAGAGAGAGAGAGAGAGAGAGAGAGAGAGAGAGAGAGAGAGAGACCTGCCTCACCAAATTTTTTATTTTTTTTTGCCAAATCGGGTGTGCGCAACACGTACCATCCCCCCACAATTTCAAATTTGCGATTCGGGGGGGGTTATTTTTTTTTTTTTACCCTTCTGAAACTAAATATATGATCGCCCCCATTTTTTTTTTTTCCTTTTTGGTGGGGGAGCCAGAGGCCGACATGTGCAGGCGGCGCCGGCGCCCCAATTGTCGGCGCACGGCTCCGCCTGGCTGTGGCGCAGCCGCGCGCGAACTCGGTTGCGGTCGAGTGTGCCACGTAGTTAGAGATGCGTCTGTGGTATTGGCCCTGGTATAATTGGTTTGACTCTTGACTCTTGAGATTAATTAAATTTTGAAATATTTCAAAAACTTGGTGACCAAACTACTGCATTCTTCACCCGAAACTAACGTCCGGGCGTATAAGTCAACTTACCCGTAAAAAGTTATATTATTTTTTTTACCATAATGCTCATTCGAATCTACGGCTCAGGCATTATGTTCGAGTAGAGCACCCTGGCAGCATTGAAAGAATGCCTGGTAGGGGGGAAGGGG